AAAGCACGATCACTGTTTCGCAGTGTGTTGATCGTGTTGAGTGTTGGTTTCGAACAAAGGAAGGTAAGAAAATTTTGCATGAGATCTCCTTCCTTGTCGAAAAGAACCTATCATTTGACTTGATTCTGGGAATGGATTGGCATGAGGAAGCTAACCCAGATATTAAGTTTAAAGAGAAGGTTGTGCAATTGTGAGACGCACAATCTGAATTGAAGCCTATCAAACTGTTTCACAAGTCTGGGTCTGACTCAAGTCTCTCTTTTTGTTGTATGAGTTACCCAGTGTTTCGTTCGATGGTTTCAAAGAAAAAGTTGGAACAAGAAGTAATGATGGTCTTTGTAAAGAAAGTCGGAGACTGTTCTACTTCCTCCCCTCCTTCGACTGAAAAACTCCTTAGTGAGTATAAAGACTTATTTTCCGAACCGACAGGAATAACTGAACGTGCTATCAAGCACACAATCGAAATTATTCCTGGCAATAAGATTCCCAAGGGCCCGATCTATCAAATGTCTCCTAGGGAGCTTGAGGAATTAAGAAAACAATTGCAGGACTTAACAGAAAAAGGATGGATTCGCCCAAGCTCCTCTCCTTATGGTGCCCCTGTCTTATTTGTGCCCAAAAAGGAAGGTGAGTTGCGTGTTTGTATTGATTACAGAGGGCTGAATGCCGTCACTGTTAAGAATGTCGAACCTCTACCACGTATTGACGATTTGTTGGACCAGTTGCACGGCTGCAAGTTCTTCAGTAAAATTGATCTGAAGTCAAGATCGAGGTGGAACCCACGGATCAACATAAGACTGCGTTCCGGACCAGGTATGGCCATTACGAGTTTATGGTGATGCCCTTCGAACTGACTAATGTCCCCGCTACCTTTCAAGGGTCTATCAATGAACTCTTTCGTCAGTGGCTAGATACGTTCGTCATTGTCTATCTTGATGATATTCTAGTGTACAGCAAGACGCTAGAAGATCACGAGAAGCACCTTCGTCTGGTGCTACGGAAGTTGCGTGAGGGCAACTTTAAGATCAATCCCAAGAAGTCTGAGTTTGCTAAGTCCGAAGTGCTGTACTTAGGAAGGTTTAAGGCCGGAAGAGAAAAAGATTTCAGCAATTAGAGATTGGCCACAACCTAAATCTATAACTGAATTGCGATCTGTCCTTGGTTTAACCAGTTACTACAGGAAGTTTGTTAGAAACTTCTCATTGATTGTTGCACCAATGCGAAGATTGTTAAGGAAAGAAACTATTTGGTTGTGGGATAAGGATTGTGAGTTTTCCTTTCGAAAATTGAAATATGCCTTGACGCACTACCCCGTCCTTAAGATTGTTGATCCATCTTTACCTTTAATTGTCACTACTGATGCAAGTCAGTATGGGATTGGTGTTGTTATCCAACAGGATGACGGCTAGGGCTACAGGACCATAGAGTTTATGTCTGCACGACTGCCGTCGGAAAAGGTTGCCAACTCCACCTATGAAAGGGAGTTGTATGCCTTAGTCTATGCACTAAACACGTGGAAGCACTACTTATTAGGGAGACACTTTACTGTGTATTCAGACCACTCTACTCTGAAGTGGATAAAGACACAGCCTAGGCTCTCTGATAAGCTGGTACGATGGTCTGCGTTTATTGATACCTTCGGTTTTGAGTTGAAAATGATCAAAGGTAAGTCTAATGTGGTCGCAGACGCATTGTCCAGACGAAGTGATTTCTTTGGTGCAATTGTCTCTTACTTGGATGTGGGAATGACCTGAAAGACCATATTCGCCAAGGATATGCTATTGATCCTATCTGGAAACCAATCATGGATGTCCTTGTACGAGATCCATCCCAACTACCCAACTATAGAATGACTGATGGATTGTTATTCTTGATTGACCAAACTGAACAAAGACTGTGTATTCCTCATAAGGAAGAGATTAGAAGTCTATTGATTGGGGAATGTCACGACTCTGAGAGACATTTTGGTTTCAAGAAAACATATGCTAAAGTCGGAGAACGTTTCGAATGGAAGGGACTTAAAGAAGATGTACTAACATATGTTCGTACATGTCTATTGTGTCAGAGAAACAAGCCGTCGCATGAGAACCCCCTTGGACTTCTCAAGCCATTACCTATACCAAGCGATCCAGGTGAGTCTATCTCAATTGAATTTATGAGTCTAGTTAAAAGTCGCAATGGTAATAGTCAAGTGATGGTAATTGTGGATCGTTTCTCTAAATACGCTATATTTGTTCCCTTACCAGCAGAAGCACGTACTGAGCTTGTCATTCAAAAAGTTTCAGATGCGATGGGTCACCGAGTATGGGTTCCCTAAAACCGTTGTGTCTGATCGATGTCAGGTTCACCAGTCTGCCATGGCAAAAGCTGATGGAAGCTTAGCACACGACTGACCATTTCGTCAGGGAGGCATCCCGAAACGAATGGGCAGACTTAACAAATGAATCGTCTGTGCCCGCAACTTTTGCGTATGTATGTTAGACCCGATCAGATTGATTGGGACGAGAACTTACCTAAGATTGCAAGCGCATATAACAATAATGTCCACACATCTACTGGACGAACCCCAAATGCACTTCACAAAGGGTGGAAGCCTACACGACCCATGGATGTGCTGAACCGGGACCAATTTCTTAGGTTGCCCCCAGGGACCCGAGAATATGCAATCTTGTTTCAGGAAGACATTTTGAAAGTTAAGGATAATCTAAGGAAAGCTCAACTACGAATGATTGAACGAGCCAACAAGCACCGTCGACCGTCTACATTTAAAAAAGGTGATTTGGTTTGGGTAAAATCTAAAGAGTTTTCACTAGAAGAAGATGTCACCCAGAAATTGCTACCTCTCTATTTTGGACCGTGGGAAGTTCTCAAGGTAATTGGAGATGCAGAGGGACCGTCTTATCGAGTTTATATTCCCCCTCATCTCAAAACATATCATGTCTTTCATGCGTCCAAATTTTTGCCTTACGTAGAAGGAAATGAGTTTCCACACAGACCCTCTATGATTCCACCAGACATGGATGGCGGATGCGGGGTTGGCATGATCATAGAGCATGGCTACTTCTCTACGGGAGGACGTGGACGACCTCAGAAGCAGTTCAAGGTACGTTTTAAAACTCAAGCACCATCTGAGGACAGATGGTTTAGTAAACGTGAACTACTTGAAACTGCTCCTGATATTGTCGCTGCTTATGAACGAGGGTTAAAGTCTTAAATATTTCTGCGGTGTAACTCAAAAATGGGCCGGCAGGAATGTAATAACCCTGTTCAGAAGAAGCCTGGGGCTCATAACTCAGCCCCAGGAAATGCAGATCTGAGTTGATCTGCGCTGGGCTGTGTGACCAAGGCACGCCCAGGCCTGAGTCTGTCGAGTGTGGCTGTGTGACCGAATGCTGCACACAGGAAATTCAAGAGTCAAAGTCAACTGTAAAGTCGAAGGTACCGCACCCAGGCCCTTGGTTGGATACACTCACTTGCTGTGCGCAGGTACCCAGACAGCATCCAGGGCAGAGGGAATTTGGTTTCAGGCCAATCTGGGCCCTCATTCGCATTGAGATCTGGACGGCTGAGGGATACAGCATCCAGGGTCCAGACACCGCGTCAACACTACATAAGAGCTGACTCCCTGGCTTTGACATTCATTTTGTCTTGCGTTGATGCTGACTTCACGCGTTGACTTCAACGCTGGCTCAACGCTGTGACGCTGGCTCGACGCTGCTGGCATTGTAACTTGGCGAGGTGCTGCTAGTTCGGGATGGTGGTCGGCTTGCTCCTGTCTTCTTGGCATGCTGACGTGGCAGCTGCCATGCGCCCATGCTGATGTGGCTGCTCCCACGTATATCATTTGGCTGACGTGACTGCCACCACGTGCTCTATTGAGAGGACTACGTAATCGGCATTGCTGTTCTGTTTCTTCGTCACTTCAGGAGGAGATCAGGACTGTGGGGAGTTCGAGGATACGTACCTGATGGTCTCCATGTCGACATTGCTCCAGATGCTGATGTGGAACTGATTAGACGTGCCACATGGCACATTGAGTATACTCGGATACTGGTTCAGACTATTGATTGTTGAGGTGTCAGTAGAGGAGGGAGCCCGAAGCAGGAGTGGGCATTATACTTCCTCTCCTTTGTCTCTTCTCCCTCCCCTCTCTTCGTCTGTGTATGATTACCTCACCTCATTCTATCTGGTTACGAGTTGGACTATGAATAATCATCAGCCGATGGACATTTATCTGGGCTTGCATTGTTGACAACTGTCTCACGATCTGGGTTCATTGCACATGGCTGAGAGGACCCTTCAGATAGCCTCCATGGGCCGTCTGAGCTGTGTTAAGGGGACTCTCTCTCTCTCTCTCTCTCTCTCTCTCTCTCTCTCTCTCTCTCTCTCTCTCTCTCTCTCTCTCCCTCTCTCTCTCTCTCTCTCTCTCCCCACAGCTCCGGGAAAAAAAGGGGATGCTGAGAAGCTAACGACTTCCTACACAAACGTCAGACAACAGGGAAGCAAAGGCCACAAGGCGAAAAAAAGTTTCAAGCAACTTCTTTGACGTTCCCTACTGTTTTCTTGCGAGCGAAGCTGCAACTGGTCCTCCCTGTCTTTTTTTTCTTCAATAAAAGGTAAGAAAAACAGAATTGGACCATTTCACGATTTACGCGTGTAATCCTTGTCCAGGGGCCATGCTAATCTTCTCTGTATCGTTCCATTTTTAACGGATGTCCCACATGAGGTCACCAAGTTATCTGTAAAATCATACTGAAATGTGATGTGTTGCTGAATGTGAGGTGAGGTGTTGATGTTGATGCCTCAGCACTTTGTAGAGGCACTGTGGAGTGGTTTGGGACAATGATTTCTGCTTAAGGATGGATGTCCTTTATGAAGTTTAGCTGGTTGACTGCCGATTCTGACCTGATCTAATCTGGCAGCTCTCGCTGACAAACGTGTGGGTGTTTTTGTGTGCGTGATTGTGTGTGTGTGTTTGTGTATGTGTGTGTGATTATCAGCTGGGAAACACATAAGCCAGTTAGCGGGCTTATGCCCCAGCCGGAATGGACCGCCTGGGATCAAACAGTGGAGTATTGCGCACTTGCTTACACGAAATTCGTAACAATTTGCGCATTGCGTCCGTCGTTTCGGTTTCTAGGAAGCGTTGCTATTGCTGGTGCAACGGGCGGCATTTGGCATCACCGGCAGCTGTTTCTTGAGACACCAACAACAATTGAATGTGTATTTTGCGATGCCGGGGTGGATGAAGCAGAAGAAGAGGCCAAACGGGCCAAAGCTGCAGCAGCGGTACGTAATCCGTGTTAGACTACTAGTCAATCAGGGAGTCAGTTTCAAAGAAAAAAAGAAGAGAGGAACAGTAGTAAAGGCATACAGGTGAACTTTTTCAGTGGGCTCTGTAAGGCTCATTATTATTAAGCATACTTTCATCGCACATGGTGTGTGCAAGTCTTGCGCATGCAGTGCACGCAGCGCAATGCACTTGTGCGCAGGCATGGCCAAAAAATAGGGGTCCCCCGGAAAAGGAGGCTGTGGGAGGGGTGCTAGCATCCGCTGCACCTGCCCTAAAAAACATCATCTGAAGGTCGGGAAAACGTTTTTTGGACCCCTGGCAGTTGCATCCCTTCCATAAAGGCAGAGAGAGAGGTTCACAAAACACCGAAGTGAATTGCAATTGAAAGTTCATTAATGTTGAATGAGGCTGATTGTTTTCCCACATCTGGACAGCAGAAAATTTTCAATCACCTGTCCATCCAACGCCCTTTTTGTTCTTACAAATTTTTAGTAGTTATCGCGAACTTATCGGAACTTTCTTATCCGAAAGTGAACGAAGACCACCCCAACCCAGGCACGGCCATTATCTGGGGGGCATTCGCCAAGGCATCAGCACGCCATCAGATCCTTTGTAAATCAGAATTATTTATTGTGGTCGCCGCTGGATTTGAACTCACGTGTGCAATTTGCAATGAACCTCTTAGTTCAACATCATTGAGCGCACACAAACACACCACATGCGTGTATGAGATCACACGAGATTCACACTGGAGACCAGAGAGATGAAGACCGTGTAGCGCAGCTCAGAATTCCAACAAGTAATTACAAGAGCAATAAGAGTTCAAGTCACCAGCGCTCACCAGCGCATACGAAAGGTAACCAGTAACCAGCATAAGCTCTCAGGTAAGTATCTCTTCCCCACTGCTCTTCTTTCTTATGAATCTCCTCTCCTCGCTGGTCTTCTCCCTAGCTATGTCCTCGCTGTGCCTTCCCTCCCTACATGCTGGCACACTCACTAACTCTACTCAAGGATCTACTCTGAATACACCCACTGATATGGCTGCACTGGCGCAGCTATGGCTGCCTTATGCGTGCACACTCACTAACTCTACTCAAGGATCTACTCTGAATACACCCACCGATATGGCTACTAACTGTCTAAAGTCTACTACGAACACTCTGCACTGGCTCAGCTATGGCTGCCTTCTCCCTGCCAGCGCAATCTCTTCCTCTCTCTCTCTCTCTCTCTCTCTC